CATAAAAAAGGCTCACAGGTACCTAAAAGAGACAGAATGACTCCCAGGCCAGAAACTCTTAACTATTATCTCATGGAATGTTCTCATGTATAAAGAGAAGTATGCTTGTCATTAGGGAATTGGCCAGACAGGAAAACACAGAAAAAGAAAGTGCCTTGTTGGCTTATAGTCCAGAGATGTTTTGAACTTCACATAACACTGGTGTCCAGGCCAAGCGGTCTTTCCCCTGAAGATGGATGAATAAGCCATATCTGACCCCAATGGCATCACATTTACTTCAGTGGCATAATCGCATCAGGCTACCTGCCTTGGCACAGGTTGTTTTCTCTACTTTACTCAATTGATAAAAAGAAACAATTAGTTGGCTCACGTAGACATGAGCATTTCAGTTATACATCTCAATACAGATAAATAATTACTCTCATTCCTATTATAGTCGTTTGTGCCCTTTGTTTTGGCCAGAATAAGATTCAAGAGCAAATGCTACAAAACAAATGGTCCCGATTCTAGAACTCAGTAACCTCATGGGGGCCCTGCCTGCTCCTCTTGGCCTTAGCACGTCCAGCATCACCCCACTGATTCCTTTGTGTGTGTAGCGGTGGATGTGACTACATGTGTCCCTTTACTTACAGCTGTGTATGTGTTGGTTGTCCACACATTCATCCATCACTATAAAAGTGCCAGAAATACAGCACACAGACAAAAATACAGAAACATAGTCCGTGTTTTCATGGAGTTGATAGTCGGAAGAATTTGACAATAAGTAAATAGGCAAGCAAAGTATATGAAAGGTACAAATGGTGTGAAGTGCTATGGTGGAAAAGACAACTGAAATGAAGGATAGAGTGTAATTAGGACAAGGGTAGAAGGATATTGCTACTTTAAGTAGTGTGGCAGGGAAATTCTCACAATAAGGTAACACTTGAGAGGATACCTATATATGGATCTGCGATTAAATGTTTGTGACATAGAAAATTGCAAATATAAATATCCTAAATGGGGAGGATGCTTGTAATTTTCAGGGAATGACAATGAGGCCAATGGAAGATTAGATTAAGTGAGGGGGAACAGTAGGAGAAAATGAGGTCATAGAAATTCTAAACTATAAAATTTTGGACACTAACAATATAGGTATCATAGAGCTGCAAGAAAAAAACCTCTATACGTACATATATTTATACATATATGCAAGCTCTACATATATACATATAAATACACACACATGCATACATACATATATACAATACATATATATGCTAGTACCTGGTACATAAGAAACACAATACATGCATTAACAATTGTTGTTGCAGAAAATTATAAGGACTTGGTTTTATTGTAACTGATACAGGAAACCAACAGAAGTCTTTGAACAAAGAAGTGATCATATATGACTTACATTTTTCAAAGATTACTTTGGCTGCTGTATTGGGAAGAAACTGTAGGAGGGCAGTAATGGGAGCAGAGAGATCAGTTTTGAGTGTACAGCTATAGTTTAGGTGGAGGTGGTATGGCTCAGATGGGGATTGTAGCAATGGCAGTGATAGCAAAGAGTTAGCCTCTGGGTAAGTTTTTCAGGTAAAGCCAACAGGATTTTATGACAGGGGACACGGAATTGTAGGATGTGGGCTGTGTGTGTGTGTGCATTCATGCACCCTCTAGTACATGCTAATTTTGGGGTGTGAGTATGTGTCAATGAGAGGCGGTTGAAACTAGGCAAGGAGAGTCTTTAGTTTGAGTTCTGTCAAGGTCTTTCATCATCACAGTCAATGCCTCAGAACTGGCTTTAAAGTAAGGAGGGTGGGTGGAAATAGCAAAACCAGAAACCATCTCTGGAGCTTGTCCACACAGCAGATCTTTAGCCAAAACAGCATCAACCAGCATCTCTTGGAAGCTGACCAGAGGCTTATGAGCCAAGTCCCTCTAGCTGTAGAAAGTTCACATTTTCTTTGAGGAAGAAATACGATGACATAAGTCAAAAAACAATAATACAAGAAAGAATTCTGTACAGTGAGGGACTCTGCTGCTCCAGCTGTGGCCTCTGCATTAGAGAAGGAGGATCAGCCACCCCCACCCCACCCTTTTTCCTCTACTTACCCAGTCACTCCAGAGCACCACCTGCTTTCCCCAGAGGAACTTCTCCATCCCTGATGAGCTATTCCTCTGTGGGTAGAACAGAGTAAGAAGGATAGAATTCAATTCAACAGACATTTGAATACTCACTATACCCTGGGCATTGTGCTGACAACAGTGTTAGAGAGAGAAGTAGACAAGACACAACATTTTGCTCAGAACAGTCTACCTAATTTCCAGGCCCAGTATAAAATGAAAGCACATAGCTTCTTTGTGAAAAATGATTAAGAATTTGACATCATCAACAGCAAGAGTGTTAAACCAAGCATAGGGCCATCAAGCTACATCATGCTATGAAAGAATGAATGATATTCTGGTTCTTTAGTCACAACTTCCAAGTTTGGTCTACTACCACTCTTTAAGAACTTCCCCCCACAACTCAATCTATTCTAGTCTTTCTAGACTTATCTCCAGAATTTTTCTCTACCACGATTTTTCATTACTTTGTGATTTATATAGCTTATAATCCAGCCTGTATCACTGGTATTACAAACTTAACTCACTCTCTGTATCTGTCTGTATTCTACTGTTTGTGTAAACATCTTCAGGTAGATTTATTTTCTTAATGTTTTCATGTATGTTAGACATGGATCATGTATCCTGCCTCTATTCCTGTCACCAACACATACTGGAACCAAGAAGGAAGTTTTAACATAGCAGCACCAAATCTTCTCTCTGTGCTCCTGTCAGAGCCAAGTAGACTGACAAGAGGTCATTCATTCACCAATTAAGAAAAACTATGCCAAGGATGTACCAGGGCCTGTAATGGGCCCTGGGCACCCAAAACCATCATGGCTCCTGACCTCCAGAAGCTCAGTCAAGTCAATGAGCCAGAACATTCATCTGAAAATTCCTCATGGGTCTATTGAGCTAATTTATCTGCCTCTCTTTTTAAAATTTTCTTTGTTGTATAATTTCTCAAGTCATTTCATATTTCTGAAACATATTTTTACCAGCATGAACTCCTATAGAAACCAACTTCAAAGTCATTCTTCCAGAGGGCTTTTCTGGATCCTTTAACCTCTTGTTTTTCCTCTCCCCAAGCACTATTTCTACCTGTCATGTTGTTTTTGTTTGTTTGTTTAATCCCTTTGCGGTCTTTGACAGTTATCCATACATGTAAACCCTGTTATCCCTCCTGGAGGAATGTTCCTTCTTGTAGGGCCTGGAGTCACCTACATCTTCCCAATAAGAGTAGCAGCACCAAGACTGGCCTGAAGTATGTCCTTAAACTGAGGGCCCCCCCGCTGCCTCCTCATTCAGATCTGACTCTGCATGTGAGCATGTGCCCTCCAAGAGCACATGCCCTTTGTCACCCGGGAGTACCCTAAAACAGCAAACAATATTTCTTTCCTGTTTTTCTTTTCATTCCTTCCTCTCCTGTATCTTGTCTCAGTCCAAGTCTCCAGGGCTCCACACAAAGTATATGTTTAGTATGTGGGATCCTAGAAAGGCGGGAGCTGGAAAAACCCTTTATCCATCTAGCATTGCCACATCTTTCTACAGAGGAGGAAACCAAGGTTCTGCTCTGGATTGTAAGGCCCATGAGAAGGTGTCAGGGAACTCACTAGCATGGTCTCTATGCTTCAAATTACTCCATAGCATTTGATTAAGGACTATATATTTTACAAACTAAAAATCCATACATATGTACTAACAAAGCATGATTTTGCTGCTTCTAGGTAGGAGAGCCCACCTGCAAGATGAATATTTGTTTCACAATAACTGATCATGGTGTGACATCTGATAAACACAACCAGAAAAAAAATTAAATCAGGAAATAATATATTCTAGGGTATGTCAATTCTGTCTCAGGGGTCCCTTTCTCTTCATGTTAGGGCTAAGGTGAAGTTTTAGTCAGGCAGTCAGCTTCTCCTTTTCTTGCCATCTGTCCTGTAAGCATCCTGCTGGGGACCCAGATAGCAGACATCACTCAAGGCTAGGAACATCTGGCCACACACCCTAAGCCTCAGCGTGACTCAGCATGATTCAGCACTGCTGTGCTGGGGCCAGATGTTTGCCTAGAAGGCTATACAGAACCAGAAGGTAGGGGCGGGGCCTTGACTCAGACTGGGGCCCAGACAGAATTGTCCATTCTTGGACTATGGGAAGACAGATGATGACTTAGAAATTGAATATGGACTAAGGAAAAACAGGAGCTTATTTAATCAGAGATGAGGAGGCTAGAGGGAATAGAGGGACTTGGGCTTATAGAAAGTATAGTAATCTTTCAGTAAATGATTTTGAAACACCTGCTGGATGCTGAACACTAATTTCAGTGCTTAAATCATAAAGAAGGATAAGATATGTATCTTACCCCCCCAGGAGTCCTAGTGAAAAATAACAGTTCATTAGAACACAATACTATAAAATTTTCTGTACTTATTAATAATAGAGATATGTATAGGGTGGAGGAAAATGAATGTCTCTCTCAGTGTAGGTTATTTTTAGGGAATGAGTAGTGGACCAGAAGATTTAATAAAATTAAGAAAATGTAAGCTGAATTTTGAGAGGTGAAAACGAATTTTATTGATAGAGAACATTTGTTCATCTCCCTTCAGGGCAAGGTGTATAGAACTGGATAAACACATTGAGGCAGAGTGGGTTTAGTCTTAGAGAGGAGCCCCATTAGTGCATGCACCGAGAAGGAACCTTCCTCTCTCATCAGAATAAGCTCTCTCTCCTTCTCTCTTCTACATCAGAAGCTTCATAAGCCTGCTAGGGTCAAGCATATCCCTTAAGAGAAGAGGATGCCAGGCAGGGTCTGCAATGAATATAAGCTCATCCCTGATGAAATGTCGTGATCAACACTTAGGCTAGCCAAATGTTGTCATATGGGATTGGGAGGGACCCAGTGACCCCAGAAATACCATCTACTTCCTATGTGATCTTGGGCAAGTTGCTTAACTTCTTCATATCCCTAAAATATAGGATGATAATATGTCTTAGATCATAGGATTATGAAGAATAAATTAGTTTACTATATAAAGAGCTAGGAACATAGTATATGCTAAGTTTTATCTGTTATAATATAGTAATAAGTATATACATATAACTATTAGGGTCACATATTACTTTAAAGCATAATTGTAAATACAGTTATTTTGATGTATTTCTTGATTTAAACGTTGGCGGCAGATTTAAGCTTATTTTGAAACACTACTCAGACCTCCCAAAATAATTCCCTGGGAGATATTTAGACAACAGGCCCTCTTGTCACAACTTCTGATCTGCCTTCTCCTATCCCCAATCCTCTCATTCACCCTTTCTCTTTACTCTCTGGTCCTGTCAAAGTGCTCTTTCAGTGAGCATTTACCCAGGCAATACATGACCCTGAGCTTTGGCTTAGAAGAAAATATAGTGATGGCTGACTTTTGAGAAAGAAGAACAGAGAGCTATAGCCTGACAGAGATAATATAGAGGCTTCTACAGGATTGATGCTGAATTCTTTGATTCTGCTTGCAGATGAGAAAGACAGTGAAGCCAAAAATGATTTTAGAGTAGTGAACGCATGGACCAGTGGCTTGCATTGGTAAAATTCAGGGTGACTTTTTTGTCAGATCCTGTACAGGGAGATGCAGGGAACTTGGAGAGTTTCTCCTCATTTTTTCGTGTTCCTATCACAGTATCACAGCACTGCTCCTAGCATGGTTTAGGGTCCTCAATTCTTGACACTAATTAGAACGTCACACAGACTGAAACTAGACAAATATATGTATCTTTTGGGGACAGTGAGGTTCCAAGTTGCTGCAGAGTAAAGGGAGAGCCAGTGTATTACAAAAGACGAGTAACTGAACAATATAACACATAAGCACTCTCTTCCTCAACTAAACTTGCAGTTTGACCAAGGGGTCAAGGGAGAATTTGGGTGGTAGGGGCCTCCAGCTTTCTCAAGGATCTGCCTATAACTTGTCATTTGACAATATCTGTCATTCAAGAGTCTCTTTTTATTCTGAGCTTGTCTCCCATTTTTCCTTACTTCTTCCTCTCTCAAATTTTCCTAAGGAGGTACAACCATGGTTGTGGAAGTATGGTCTGCAACTGTAGCTCAAGCCCTGATCTCCAGTCTCCAAAGAGTGAAAGTGAGGAGCAGGGGCCAGGGGAAAAGAACATCTGTTTCTACTTTCTTGGATCCCTGGTATATATTTATGCTGATGTTTTACCATGGAAAGAACACCATCTCCAGCAGTAACACAACTGGGCCTATATCCTAACCTCACTACCTGGTGGCTCTGTAAGCTTGGACAGGTTATTTAATCTCTTTGACCTTCAAGTCCCCACACTGACAGAGAGGCTGTATAATGTAGACAGTAGGACAGTCCAGACCACCTGGGTTCTAATCACAAATTGGCTGCCTTTAATAGCCTGGGCCTTTAAGAAATCTACTTACACTATTTATGCCGTGGGTTCCTCATAGTAAAAGAGACAATAATCTACTTCTAAGTGTTGGTATGAGGAGAAACTAAGTTAATTAATATAATGGATGTAAATTAGACTCCAGCATATTCTGAGTACTCAAGAGGTGCTGCTTATTCTTACCTTTAACCACAATATGTCCAATAGTACATACCTCACAGAGCTCCCATATTAAATGAGATTATTTAAATATCGTAGAACGGCACCTGGCATGTAGAAAGACTTCAGTAAGTATTAATTCCCATCTCCCTTTCTTTTTCTTCTAATAGAAATCCACTCTATTTCCTTGTGTCCCTTGCATGGTCTCTAGTCCCTTCATCATCCTCTTTCCCTCTCACCTCCTGTGCAAATTCCTAAAAATCTCTCATCCTTCAGAATCTTGTACACATTCACAGTGAAGTGATGTTTTCTTAGATTGCAAAGTTGCTACTAGATACCTTTATCTGTGCCCTGTGGCCTTAGAAGCCTCAGCCATTTTTTTTTTAATTTTTAATTTTTTTTAATATCAGCATATTACAGGGGTACAAATGTTTAGGTGACGTATATTGCTTTTCCCCACTGAGTCAGAGCTTCAAGCATGTCCATCCCCCAGACGAGAAGCCTCAACCATTAAAGCTAGGCTCTGGGTTTTGAATGCGTGCAGCACCTGGTTGGATGGTCCTGCTGAGGGAGGGTCCCAGGCCATTGCTAAATTAAACATCATGTTCTAAGGCTGGCGCTGGATCTCTATGATTGGGTAGTGCTATTTTCTGGAACTTGCCTTCTGTATTGAGACTGTGAGCTCTTAGGGAGCCCATAGCTCTGTCCTGAATTGCTAGGCCACTATTCCAGAGAGGGTGTATGTCCTTTGATCCTTAATAACCTCATAAGATAGATTCTATTGTTATCTTATTTTTTGGATGACCAGCCTGAACTCAGAGGAATCAAGGCACTTACCCCTCACTGAGGGGATGGGAAGGGAGGTCCATGTGGTGGTAGAATAAAAAATGCTGCTATGTTGCTCCTCCTACCCATCCCATGTCCACCCTGTACTTCTGGTCTATCACCTCCAAGAGTCGTGGACTCCACCCAGAGCCGACAACCTGACCTAACCACCTATCTGAGCCAGCAGCCGTGTAGCTCTTCTGGACCCTGATAGCTGGTAGCTAACCCTGGCCCTACCCTCCCTGTGACCTCTGATAGACACATCTTGCACATCAGCTCCCAAAGTCCCCATGGGTGGTGGGGGAAGTTCAGGTTTGCTGAGTCAAAGTTCCCTAAAGTCTAAGCCCTTAGAGACTCATGTCACCAAAGCCACAGTCACAGATTCGTGGCTGCATCCTTCACCCACAGCCCAATTCCTCTGCTTTGGCACCCCTTCCATCTCACCACCCTAGTCCAAGCAGCAAAGGGCTCAGGCACAGTTGCTGCAGACTCTGCCATGGGCCTGGGACTGCCTCTGATGTGTCTGACCTTAGGCAGAGGCCTTGAGTCCTCTGAGCTCCATCTTCTCATCCAAAAATAGGGATCAAAATGACATCTATTTATGGAGTAAGAACGAGGAAAGAAGACAGTAGCTAAATTGATTAGACTTTAGAATATATAAGGTCTCAATAAACATTAGTAAATTTTATCATCCATTAATCCTGCCCCTCAACTCTCTTACCTCCACCCGCATTCTCCTTTCTCCCCTCTCCCTCTTCATTCTCTCTTACCTGCAGGGATTCCACCTGTTCCACTCTTCTTATGGTTATTTTGGATTTTAGGTGGGGATTTGGGGATAAGCTATGAAGGAGTGAGGCATTTCCTGAAGAAGCCATATTCAGGAGGTCATCTCAGCAGGGATGAGGCGGGAAGATCGAGGACAAGGCAGGCGCTAAGGGAGGATCACAGCCAGAAGCAGGACTGTGGGGACCAGCCTCAGAAGCTGGGAGGGCTTCCTCCTGGGAAAACCCTGTGGAGAAACCATTTCTGGGCAAAAGTGCGGAGATTCCAATAGGACAGACTTAAGAGAGGGTCTCTGGAAGCTTGGAGCGGGAGGCTCCCTGCCACATGAAGGAAGCCTGCTCAGTGTAGGCTCTGGGCTCTTTCCTCCTCACATCCAGCGGGGCCTCTGATTATAACCCAGGCTTTACAAAGCCCTGCATCCCACCTGCTGGAGCCCTGACTGGAAAGGGAGCATTGTGTTTCCATTTCACCAGGTCTTTCTTGCCCTGCTTCTCTCATTGCCTTAACATATCCATTTGATAATACGATTCTCCAATAAGGAAGTATGGGAAGAGCCTTCTCTCATGCCTAGGCCTGTGCTCACCACTGAGTACAGGACAAGGGAACAGAGAAGTAAATGTAATGGCATAGGGCTTCTCAGAGCTATGCAAACTTGGGAGTTCATCAGGACCAGCCTTCTGCTTAGGGTAGGAATCCGCTCTGGAGATCTGTACAGTCATGGGCGAGACACTTTATCATGGGAAGGAATTCATGCATTTCCCACTAAGCCTTACTACTGCTAGACAACATTTACAAAGTCCTTATGTATATGAAAATCCTTTAGTCCTGGGTCACGTGTTATAACTTGAGTCCCTGTTCCAGAAGATAACCTTCCCATATTGGACCATTCATACATTCGTTAAACACAAATTACATACACTGTAACAAGTGCTAGAGACCTACCAGTGAACAAGAGAGCCACAGTCCTTGGATTCACAAAGCCCACCGATTAACTGAAGGCGGTGATCATAATCACTACCCCTTCTCCTCTTCGTGTAGTCTTTTCTGATCTCAGGGATGTTATGCTCAGGTTGGGAAAATGAGACTATCATCCAAGAACCAGATAAAAAGAAATGTAGTGTAATTTTATTGTCATTCAAGACAGTGGAATGTAGAGGTAAAACATGCCCTGTGAATAACATGGCCTGGGAGACCCTCGAAGGCAGGAACTGCCTTAAGCACCTTTGCATCCTCAGCATTCAGCATAAAGAGTGCCAAGAAGTAGATGTCAGTAAATATTCACTGGTAATGAGGGAAGAGATGCTTAGGACCAAATCCTAATTTTACCACTTGCTAGTAGCGTACGTTTGTGTGTGTGTATGTGTGTGTGCACAAGTGCAACCCTGGTCAGGTTGAGACATAATTTCCTTAGCTGTGGTGAAGTGGGGATAATAATAATACCTACCTCGAAGAATTAAAAAGTATTAAATAAGTTATGCAAAACACTTATTACAGTGTCTGACATATAGTAAGCCTTCAACAAGTGTCAGTTATTGTGATTATTACTGTTAAAAACGAATCGGCAAAAAGTGCAGAATAAAAGAGTTTTCAACTATAGCATGAATGATTGCAGTTAAACCCAATAATAATAGCAAACATTTCCTGACTACTTAGCACATACAAGGTACTACTTTAAATGCCTTGCATATATTAGTTCACTAGGTCTGCAAAACAATCTAGTGAGCATGTTAAAATCTCATTTTACAGATGAAGAAATTGAGTCGTACAGCTAGTAAGAGCTACTGAGTCACCAGCCA